TCCTCAGGGCCTTGGAGGTGGGATGTGGCAGCCCCTGGGATCGGGAATTGGGGCGGAATTCCCCCCAGGATGGCAGAGACTGGGAAGGACAACGTGCCGTGGATCCCTCGTGCCGGGGGGCTCGTTCCTGGAGCCTCCCCACTCCAAAGCACTTTCCCGGGTTGGATTGTCCTTGTTCCCTGTGGGAAGAGCAGAGGCAAATCCCTGCTCCTCTGGGAATGAGGGGGAGCTGGGAAGACTCAGGTGGGGCTTCCCAGCACCTCCTGTCCCTGCTGGGACTGGGGAGAAGGGGCTGGAGCCACCCTTGGAATTCCAGGCTGGAATTGTCCCTGCACAGCTCGGGTCCCTCAGGGAGGGCGGGAGAGCAGCAGGTTCCTGGCTGTGCCTCCCCTTCCCTGCTCCAAACCTGGAGCCTCCATGGATCTCCTGGACTTTGTGTGGCTGAGGGTGACCTTGAGCTGCTCTCCCTGCCTTCCCTGCCCTTCCAGGAGCCTGGTGCTGCAGGGAGAGGGCATGGAAGTGGGATCTGGCAGCACACACAGATCCTGCTGCTTCCCAGAGAAACTTCCTGAGCTGAGAGCCCGGATGGGGCTGGGGGTGGAGGGAGGTCCAGGACCCTCAGCCTCATCCAGGGGGATCCAGGACTCTTGGCCTTATCCAGGGGGGTTCTGGGACCCTCAGCCCCATTTGAGGGGATTCCAGAACCTTTGGCCTCATCCAGGGGGATCCAGAACCCTTGGCCTTATCCAGAGGGATCTGGGATCTTCAGCCCCATCCAGGGGAGGTCTGGGACCCTCAGCCTTATCCAGGGGTGTTCCAAGACCTTTGGCCTCATCCAGGGGGATCCAGGACCCTCGGCCTCCCCAGGGCTGGACTCTGTGCAGGATCAGGAGCCACATCCAGCAGCTCCACCCTGTGATGCCTTTGGAGTTCCCTCACAGAGCAGGGACTGTGGAGCCTCTTCCCAGCAGGAGCTGGGAGCTGTGTCCTGTTCCAGGGGCTCTGGGATGGTTTGGAGCCGCTGCTTTTCTCGTTCCTGGTGTAGAAACTCTTTATTTTCTTCCAAAGACACTTATTTTTGCAGCCATTTGAGGTTTGTGTTTTATGTCCTGTGAAGAGGAACCTTCCCCCTGCAGCTCCTGCCTGGTGGTCACAGGGGGGGTTTTGGGGGGGTTATTTTTTGCAAATGCTGGGAATGCCGGTGCCAAGGAAACAAAATAAACACTTCAGGCATCCAAAGGACTTCTCTGGGATTTAAGGGATGGGGTTTGGGGGCAGGTGGTGAGGGCAGGGACAGCCCACAGCCTGGGCTGGGGCGCACTGGGAGAGGGCTGGGGACACTGGGAGGGCGCTGGGGGCACTGGGAGGGTGCTGAGCTTTATGAGGAGGAGGTTGGGGCTCCCCTGGAGGGTTCTGGGGTCACTGGGGGGGCGCTGGGACTCTCCTGGAGGATGTTGGGGCCCATCGAGAGGATTTTGGGGCTCCCCCGCTCCGCTGCCCCGGCCGGTCCGTTCCCGGGTCCGGG